CCTGAACTGCATCCTGGAACTCGCATAGTCACCTCTATTGGCAGTGCATAACGCTACCAACCAGCGAAGGAGACATCCACAACTTCAAAGAATAGTGATACTTTGTGAAATCCGACCATCTACTTAATGCACAGTTTAGGCCCAATGGTGAGAAACGCCGCCGTCGGTGAGATTCAAACCCGACTTTCGTTGGGGGCTATTACCTCAGGTTGTTAGGCGTTGGCTGTACCCAAGCTTTATACTTGAGGCCGCCTACGTTTTCGCAATTAGGTCAAGTGGACCGCCGTTTATATTTAGGTTTGACCTTACACGACGAGTTAACACATTTTATAAACTGACCTCCGTGGTCGTGGAAGACAAGGACGTGTTTTTGTTTACTTGGGATTATCCTCTAAACACCCAGTAGTTCATGCAGTTATCACCCCCTCGCATGGATATGAAAAGTGCCGTGCTTTTAAAAGCCAGAACAGCCACACGAGAACCTGGGAGATATTCGTGCGACACCGTCAGCCTGTTGCACAAACACGATACCTTAGTAATTTTACCGGCCCGGCACATGGGTGCAAGACTCAATAAAGTCGTGTGACAAGGACGTTACACGATGTGCTCTGATTGTAAGACGGGTCTAAAGAGGCCCCGTGGGCAGTTGAGAAATTTCGAGCAGTCATAAAATTTGAATACACAACGGAAGACAAAAACGACAATGGATTGGCCATCGCTAGACTAACCGCCGCCACTGTCGTCCTTATCAGCATCAGCCCAATACTGTCGATGGGCTTTTTTTTAACTTCACAAAACCACACGGGCGGTCTACCATGGCTCCGACTTGAATCTCCAAGGCAAACAATTCTAAAAAAACGGCTGTCTCACAATCAGACCACATTGGTGAACACTATCCCAAGCCTACTTTGAACCTTGCCTATTTTGATTGCCGGAGTGTGAGTCTTTGACTCTACCAGTGAAACTTTTAGCCCAATCAGAACTAGGCTCGTGCCATCTCAGGCTAGAGTCGGGATACGTCAAATAACTAAGGGCAAATAGGTCCAAAATAGCTTTGTCTTTTTCGGGGATACCTCCCGACTGACAAGGCCAGCCAGTCGCGCTGGGCAGGACAACTTGAAGTTCCGTTAGCAGAAGAAATGACCAATAAATGGCCGTTTAATGAGAAATCCTACAGCTCGATTTACGGCTGCCGACGGCGATATGCGCCATGGTCAGGCGTACTAAGAGGGGACAAGAAAAGTACTTATTCTGACGCCTTGACTCCCCTTAAAAAGCTGTCGCAAAAATAACCCGACCATTAGCTCTTGGCCTCCTTATACGGCTTAATTTCACCTCCGCTCTCGCTCTCTCCACAAACACTCAACCAGGGAACGGTGGCCGACAATAGTGACAGAGCGAAAGGTCAGAGGAAACATGGAGATAGCAAATATGGCTGGCTAATTTTGTGCAAGCACAGTATTCCCTCAGTGACAAGACCAGACAACAAGAGATGGTTACCTCAGCCATGGTTACCGGAAGTGCCGGCGTGTAGAATGAATGTGTAGAGATTAAAAACAAAGTGCGCGTACTTTTAGCCAACGACCTCGAGTGTGCAAGATGCGTACACAAGGGTGGCCGCAGGGAATGGAATGCTACCGAGTTGTAATCACGACACTATTTCCCAGCGACGGCTGCGTCAAGTAATCCATCGATGATGGTCAAAATCATTATTTGGCGCGAGCAGTGCGGAGGAAAACTTCCGCAGCATGGCTGGGCGGTAAGGCCTTCTTGCAAGGCCGTCTAAAGTCAAAAAATCCCCCAGCTCAAGTTTCTTACGAAAATTGTGGTTAAATATGTAATGAATAATGAAAGCGTAGTTAATACGTGTTAAATGAGTGATAAGTGCACACTAAGAAATAAATGAAAGTCTCTTGAAATTGTTTTACTGAAATGAACATATAAGAGGACAGCATGCGGAGATAATAAAATCGACCAACATAAACCCCTATTGGTCAGCAAAGGATGCCAATAGACCGATAAAAATATAACAAAGACTTCTATTGGTTAACACATTCAAGCAAATGTTTGGGTAGGCGGAAATGCGACCTACTGAAAATGGCAAAGTAGCTTTTATTATTAAGCACAGACATTAGGCAGCCTCATAAGAAAGCCCTACCGGGAGGAAAAAGTAACATGCCTAAGACTGAGATTGCCTATCTCATAGAATGTCAACCAAAATTGAGAAATGTCTCTCTGATTCGAAAAAAACTTACTTACGTATAGTTGTAACATTTAACAGCATACAGCCTAATTCCAACATATTTGATTCACTTCAGGATGCTGGCTTTTAAACGGGTTTTCTTCCAACCACCTTCAAGAACGAAGTCGCAAAAAACAACTACTTAAGTAGCATTCATTTTCACAATGGTGTTCGATATTAATTCAGATAGACAAAATGTTAATCTAAATATATTTTACAGAAAAAATGCATAAAATATTATTTTTTGTACTCACTTGATAGCAAGTGATGTCTTCTCTAAATTGCATGTTTTAAGCAATTTTCTAATTATGAGACTTTTTCAGACCCTCACATGCCCATTAATAAAGCATCGCATCTGTCCATTTATCAATTCTCCTTACAACTTAGTCCACATCCAAGGCAAAATTGCATAAACATTATGTGGTGTCTTCCTGACAGCGTAGAGAAATTTGTTATATTTCTTAGGCGAAACCACAGCATTTTGTTGGAAAACCCCACAGGCATGTACTAGAACAGGCCAGTGTCAAAATTATTTTGGAATTGGAAAATATTTGTTAAAACCGAAAGGTATACTTTCTTGAAGTAAGAAATTCAATGAGGGCGTAAGTTGCTACCAAAGGAACAAAAAAGGGATAGTTTTGTGCATGTTTTCTTCAAAATATATTCTTTGCCAGCAATGCCCTATGTCAAAAGAGACATGTATCGCCGTCTCTGGCGTCCGACACGTGGAGTCCTTCGATCGATTTCAAACCAAATGTATAACACCCGACAACTTATCGATAGCAACTGCTTAAAGCCATATAAAGAGGAAGTTAATGAAATCTGGCTCTAAACTCCAAGGGGCAAGTTAAGCCTCTAATTAGAAGCACGCTATAAATATTTCAATGAGGATCTCACAAGATAGTATGGATGGCGCTAGGACAACAGTTGGCAGTGTGGATTACTGCGCGTTACTGCT